CTCAATTGTAAAAGCGCTATTTCTTTTGTTTTTTGAATTTAGGGTTTAGGGTTTAACAAATCAAGAGTTTAATGTATCTATTAAAATTCTTGATAATAAGTTTAGTACAAAGGCAGGGGGACTAAAATTAAATTGAAGGACATTCCTATTAGTTGGAGATATAACTAACAATGGGATAAATGCTATTTCTTTATTAATTTGGTGCTTTTTTTTTTGAGTTCTTAAGCTTTGTTTTTTATTTCTGTCGTGGAAATATTTCTCACTCCTGAAATCCATTATTCAATATTCTGAACTTCTATGGCATTTTGAGATGACTCAGTGAGAGATAATTTAGATCGAATTAAGTGTAGGTTTGTGTTTAGGGTTTGTAATAGTGTGGACAATTGATTTTTCAATGGGTAGATGTTTTTTTTTTCAACGTTTAGACTTGAACTTTGGATTGTAATAAAATATCACATTAGTATCATCCTATCACAAGTATAAAAATGTTAGATGCTCTCTTACGAGAGGCAATAGAGAACAAATAACAACTAACATAAAAAGAACAAAAGATTAAAGTTAATGTCTAAAAACTTTATTATTATCTCAAGAGAATGAATGAAATGAGATATAAGATAATACAAGAGGAGAGACTCTCTATTTATAGTGGAGCTTTTAAGAAAAGGCAGTACGGTAGCCGATGGCATAGCAAAACACGCGTGGTCACTCCCCAAAGATCTACATGAGTTCCACCAACGTCTGATGTGGTTGCAGGGAGAGTAAACGAGGAGAGCGCTAGTATAACCTAGGTTTCTGTTTCCCCTTTATAACCAAAAATAAAAATTATGTGACCCACCATTCACAACCTAAATCCAAGAGCCAAAGGCTAATTCAAGAAATAGTACCACAAAGCTCATATCACATGAAAATAAACAATAAAGTATATAGCCCCAGGGCCAGTGGTGGAGATGTCTTTAATCATCACATCCAACATTGTATTCCTTCATCCAATTGGATTCAATCTTCTCTTTTGACCAACAAAATCAACTTTAGATCACATGAAATAGAATATCTCATTTGATTAAAAAAATTCAATTAATAAAAAAAAAGACTCATACCTGATTAATTTAACCAAATTCTTTAAAGAACCCAATTTAATTTTTTTAAATTCTTTAAAACAATCAAATCAAATTAAATCAAAACCTATTAAATTCGAATAAATCGCACATCCCTAAACATAAAATGGATTTAGTTACATAATATAAAACATTTTACACTTTTTTCCAGTTAAAAAATATTACACCAAAACACCCACAAAAAACCATTCAAAACATCTGTCGTGTTCATGCAGACATTACATTGATCTTTCAAACTCTGTATCTATTGTTCTTCTCTGCAGATATGGAGAGGAGCCTTGAGACACCCTGAGTCCAAACATCATGCTCCTTCTGGTTCTTGCACTCGAACTCCACGACCCGCGCATCACCGTCTTCAACCCAAAGTATCCGGTTCTCTCCGTCGTCGAGCAAGTGCGGCCGGGCCATGCCGGCATGTCTTTAATCACTTCCATGATCACATCTGGCAGAAGATTAAAGATTTAAAGTTGCAAGACAACACTTTATCTTTATTTTTTACTTAATGACTAGCTTTTCTCAAATCCCCAAATGGAACAAAGACCCTTCCCCACATCGAATTCTGCAATTTTTGACAGTTTATTAGAGAGCAAAGACAAGAGCAAATCACTTCTTTTTCTTTTTTGTGATGGTACCGGCAAACATGTCTACTCTTCATCTTCAATATTACCTAAACATAAATCTCGATAAAATATTCAAACACGAACACGACACAAACATACGAATACGTATAAAGAAGAAAAGAAAACAACAGATCAGTTTCTTTTCCGTTATATCAACATTATCTGAAGCATCATTGATTCTCCAATAATTGAGCAAATATCATCTTTTCATGCATATTACTCGAGGCCTTTCATGCTAATATTGGAACCGAGTGTCGAACACATACTAAAAACGAAGAGTCGGAGCAATGTAAGTCGAGGTATCCTTACTGATTCATTAATGTTAAACAGAGACAATCTTCCAATGGAGATCACCTGGAACAATTCAGATCAATGATTTTCAGCAATTGTCACTAAAATGTACAAAGAAATATGAAAAGCATGGATGAAAATGACCTTTTTGTGCGTTTGAGAAGCACACAGCCTTTAGCAAGCAAATCTACTGCAAATCCCCAGTAAATTTTTCATCCGGAAGAAGCTCGCCGCTGAAGCCGCCGTTAGAGCTACCGTTATGCCATTACCACCACCTTTATCCATCGGAATAACAGCTGCTATGTTCCATGCTTCCTTCAATACCCTTGCTTTCAATATGGCCCCTCTTAATGCTGAACATCAAAACCCAGAAATACATTCAACGATTAAACACTAAATTTTTCATTGGGTGGTTTATCATTATATACCTGTGGCGGCGCCTGCGTTTAACGTCATTATATCTTCGGCGGTCCGTACATTGACAGCGGAGCTGATTACTGAGGCCAAATGTTCACGTTCGGCTCCCATGGCTTCAGCAGCATCAACGCATTGTGCAGCAACTAGGGTGGCGGCAGATGCAACGGCCGTATCCGTCTTTGTCATCGGCTCATCCTTCCCGGATGAAGCAGCCGTAGCCGCCGCGATAGCTGCAACAGCTGCGGCAACCCCGGCAAGAAATGGCAGCATGTAGCTGAGCATTATGAGCACGTGTTTCTTCCTTTTCTTCTCCTTCCTATCCTTCAGCCATCGTCCCATCGTCTTCCCACCGCCCGCCACGGCGGGGACAGCCGCTGCAACTGCTGGAGTAGTACGATACTGCGTAGAGCTGTTACCAGCGCGGCAAAATTGCTGCATAGGTAAAGATAAAATAACATTTTGAGTCCCGGTAACAATTCCAAGTTACATAATGAGTCAAAAAAGTAATTACAAACCTTAAGATCATCGTTTCCGAAGGTGAAATTGGAGGACTATCTGTTAAAGAGCCACAGCTATGAGCTCCTGTTAATGGTCCACTGCTATGAGATGGTCCCTGAAGACATTTTGTTGCTAAAAAATCAGACAACATTCATCGTAAACCCGAAAACAAAAGCCTTAAAAAATAAAAAACCCATTGTTCTGCTACAAAACTTACATACTGTGCCATGATTCTTTCCATGACCATCTGGGAAGTTTCATAAGAAGCAAAAGAGAAAGGGTTGCTCGAAACCAGTTAATGTCTTCAATCTCTCCGGCCATGTCTTCTTGTATAACGACGTTGCCGGTCGACGTGTCGTTTAAACACTTTTGTGAGAGCCGGCAGCTTGGGATGATGCGGAAGATAAAGCTTTTGAAACTTCAAGAGCCGAAATACTCCATGAACTTGACAAGAACTCCATTGGTTCACGTACTGTCCGGTGGCCGGAATGGCACGGCACCGGTTTCGGCCCCACGGTTCGACGACGGGCTTCTCCATTGTTTCTTTAGGGACAAAAGAAGTAAAGAAGTGAGTTTTCTATGTAAGGTGACAGTGATGAGGGAATGACCGTAATTTTTATTGAAGAGATGTTAAAAGGTTGTAATTTTGTGGGATTGACGAGGATAAAATTGGAAACACGGGTTTTCTTTTTTTTTGAGTGTGGGAAAATAGAGGGTGGAGTTTGGGTGTCACGTGCTGTATGATCAGGTACACAAGGTTAAAAATTGAAGCGATATTGGAGTGTGATTAAAAAGGCTAAATATACTAATTCGCTCTCTTAGCCTTTATTTTTTTTCAATTTGGTACCTCAGTTCATTAATAATGGAAGTCTTGTTTCTTTACAGATCTTTTACGTCCCCTACTTATAAGCTGAGTCGTGGGCTTGTTTGGAAGGCTCAAAACTTGCCCACAGGCTGGATTGATGCGATAGTGATAGTGAGTGTAGGTGGTAGTGGTAGGGAGAGAATATTAGTGGCAATGATAAATGCAACCCCTTAAATTTAAATTTTTTTTAATTATTATATTTTATTGATTATGTTTACGTTAAAACTTATATGTGTCAACTCATACAAAAGTTTATATGGTTAATATATACATCTGCCATCAAAAATTTTATTATTCTCATTTAACTTAAACTTGAAATATAGAAAACTGACTCCATCTAAATTCCCTTTTATAAAAAAATCTATATATAAATTAGAGTCTCGTCTCATCTCTATTTTGTTGTTCTAAGAATGTTGTTGGGAGGAACAAAGTGACGGAGAAGCTGGCGAAACTCCATCTAAATTCCCTTTTTATAAAAAAATAATATATATTAAATTAGAGTCTCGTTCATCTCTATTTTGTTGTTCTTCTAAGAAGGTTGTTGGGAAGGGAACAAAGTGACGGAGAAGCTGGCGAAATTAGATATTAAATTAGTCTCGTTCTCATCTCTATTTTTGTTGTTCTTCTAAGAATGTTGTTGGGAAGGGAACAAAGTGACGGAGAAGCTGGCGAAATTAGCGAATGGTACTGATCAGCTCTTAAAGCTGCCGCCTATGGAGGCCCTTAGCTACTGTTTCGATGATGCGCAAGGGGCTTAGGCGTAGTTTCACCTTGGCTTATAGGGCTTAGGCCTATTTATTTAATATATAAATTGAAACTTTTTCATATTAATTTAGAGAGTTAATTGCATTATATCGTATTTAGATATTCTAGTTTTATTTTTAAATTATAATTTTTATTTTAAATTAATTCTTAATTTTTGAAATATTTCAATTTCATCCCCAAATTATAACTATCATTTTAAATTAATCCTTAAACTTTTGAATCTTTCAATTTCATCCTCAATTTCATCCAAATGTGTAATTAGCTTCAACCATCGTTTAACTTAAATTTTATTTTTTAAAACATATAGTAATATAACTTTAACAATTTTATTAACATGGGATGTGATTAGTATATATGTATAGTTTAGGATGAAGTTAAAATGTTAAAAAAGTTTGGTGACTAATTTAGGATGAAGGTTATAGTTTGGGGATGGAATTGAAATGTTAAAAAAATTTGAGGACTAATTTATAATAACAATCATAATTTAAGGAAGAAATTGAAATATTTAAAAGTTTAGAGACTAATTTAAAATATAGATCATAATTGAAGGACAAATGAGGCAATTAACTCTAATTTAAAAGATAAAAAAGAAAAAATAAAGTGGTATGTATCTTAATATCGCTTAAGTAAAGTCTTGAGTTCAAAACCTTATGTATACAGAAAATCATTGTTAGAAGACTCACTCACTAAAATAAATGTACGAAGCGAGTCAATCTAAATTAATTAAGTTAAAACCTTAAAATCGAAAAGAAAAAAAAATCCACATAACCACTTTGTAGTAACTAATTTTATCCGGGCTCCGATGGATAGTCCGAATTTTAAATCTAAAAATATATTCATCGATTAATTTAAAATATAATGATAATATGGAAGAATTCAATTCAGTATTTTTAAATAAAATTTAAAGAATAATAATTGATTTAGAATGATTAAAATCTTTTACGAAATAGATTTGGGTGGAAAAAATTAAATTTTATGTTTTGATTTGATTTGATTGGTTGAATGACAAGGCTGCAGGCATACTACTAGTAACTAGGGTTTTTGTGACAGATTAGGTAGCCCCCTTCATCCATAACTTATCCATCAATCATCTCAAACATTTTCTTTTTTTTTTTATAATTATTATAATAATTAAATAATTATTTGAGTATTTCTTAATTATTCAAAGTTACATATGGGTCCTTATTATAGAGTGATGTTTTATTAAATCATTTGATTATTAAAAGTTATAAAATAGTCATTCAATTATTTATATTTTTTAAACTTACTTTTTCTGTTAATAAATTAGAGATCGTCTTATATTGACATTAATTTGTTGATTGAGATATGATAAATTTAATCTAATAATGGTTTTAGTTGTATTTTGTCGATAAGATCTTCGTTTACATTCTGTCATCGAACTAGTGCTTTAAACATTATGTTAACTTTCAGTTAAGACGAGTGTTAGATTTTTAACAAAAAAATATGATTTTAGAGCATAAATAGTCAGATAACTATTTTGTAATTTTTAATAGTTATGAGACTAAACAAACACACGCTATGGTCGTAGACTATTTGTATACATTATCCTAATTATTTTTAATACAAAGGAATTAAATGTTAGATTTCTTCAATAAAATAAAATTTTTAAATTTAATATTATGAATAAAGAAATTGATTAACAATGTGATTTTATTATAAGTTTTTACAAAATTTAATGTATTTTTTATCAGTATATTATTAATAATTAGTACTAGAAATATTATTATATTTTATAAATGAAAATTATATTTTTATAATTATTATATTTAATCTTTTGATAAAAAGAATTGATATTTATTCATTATTTTATAAAAGAAAATTAAATATTAATGTGCAAAAAATAATTATAAAAAGTATTTAAAAATCCTCATCAATTAATCAATTCTTTTATAATATTTATTTTTTACACATTAATATTAAATCCCTAAAATACAAAAAAAAAATCATAAACATCACTCTATTTAATTTACCGATTTAAATTTAATTACTCCATACTTATAAATAAAATAATTGATGTCAATTATAATATATCATATAATTATAATTTATATCTTAAAAATACATTTAATTTCTTTATGATTATAAATAATTGTTTTTGATTAATCTTAAATTAAAAGTCTTTCGACCATTAAAAGGTGATATTCAGAAAATGTATGGCCCTACAAATTACACAAACCAAACCGTGAATCTCGTATAAAGGTGTAACACCCCAAATCGTACTCGACCCATATACGAATTCGAGATGTCACATTGACTTTTTAAAATAATATTCTTATAAAATCACATAATATTTGGATTTATATTAAGAAAATACAATAATATACTATTGAATTATGTTTCATTATAACAAATTTAAGGTAAAAATATTTTTATGAATAGTAATTATACTGCATGAATAGTATAGATACTGTGCAAATAGTACAGTAAACAGTATCATGAACAGTGCTACAGTGTACTGATGTACAAAAACATCGAATATAAATTGTGTATCGATGCACTGCTACAGTGTACTGATGCACTGCTACAATAATTTCAGCTCAACTTATATAAAACTCATAAAAATTTAAGCTTTTATCACTATAAAGTTACCATTTACATAAATACGTTTAAAACATTACCAAACTCAATCAGAGCATGCATACTTAATTTAACAACTTTGCTTACATACCAATCTATTTATAACATAATAATACATACTATTTAAGTTTCTTCTGATCTGGTAGTTGTAGAAGTAATGTTGTCTCAGCTTTCTAACATTGCTTGTCTATCTTCTCTGATCCTACGTGTGACATACTCACACGCTTAGTCATTGACTTAGTGAAGCATAATAATAATAACAATGAAATATAATGATGATGCTATAATAAGATAAAGTGTAATGAAATCATATATGTAATCTATGTAAGGTGCATAACAATGTATCTTACCAATAATCTCATCAAATTAACCATCATGAATTCGTATTAATAAGTTCACTAACCCATGACACAATAATGAGAACCTGAGGTATGTGAGTACTGTGAGATTGTGCACTATGATGTCACCACAGTTTGTATAAATTGCACCGAAGTGCCAAGTAAAATTTGTCCCGAAGGACCGCGTAGCACTGTAGTTCCATATAAGATATGTCCATAAGGACCACATAGAAATCCTTAAGAACCATATACATATACCAGGATCAAGTAGATGTCTCAAAAAAACCTCGTACATGTTTCAAAAAATATATATATCCTGAAGGACCACATAGAATTATCTCGAATGACCAGTAGACCCTCTACTCTTGGCATGCCAACTATACTTATAGTTATCATCTACATAACATGGGTTTTCACAATTCACATAGTTTATATCTCGTAGACATATAAATTCTTACCTTATCACATGGCTCATGTAAACTTTTCATACATATTCAGTTAGAACATTGTCACATAATGCATTTAATATAAATTCATGTCATGTATCATAATATGAAATATAATCATGTATCAAGATATTATATCCAGACTTATCACAAGTCTAGAACTGAATATACTACTATATTCATGCTATGCATATGCACTCACCTATGTCTCCTTGCCTTTCCCTCGATCAATCTTACTTGTCACTTGTTTTGGAATTCGTTTAGGCTCTGTATCTACATAAATATAATTTTCAAGATGATTATCAGAAGCCTAAACCTTATGCTTCGATGTTATTAACTTAAATTAATTTAATCAGCTAAAATTCCTATTTTCCTTTAGGAGTGTATCGATACACTCCTGGTGCATCGGTGTCCAAATCCAGTTCAAAATTCCCATGTATCGATGCACCTTCAAAATTGATCTTAGTGCATCGGTACCCATTCATAGTGTACCGATACAACCTGCCCAGATTAGACTTTTTCACTCAAAAATTCCACAACTTTTCATTAAATTTCCTTATATAAAACTTCTTTTATATCACCCAACTCAACTACCATCATTTTAACTAACTTCTATATTCCAACACCTTATTGTCCTATACTCATTCAATTCTTAAAACTAAGAATCTTACTAAATTTTCCATGTAATTCAAACTTTGATTTAACACTTATAACTTCTTATTCACCTATGACAAGTCATTTCAGCTTCTAAATCTATTTATACATCTTTATTAAATTTCACTTATCCACTTCTTCCCTTAATTTTCATAACTTACAACTCTTTGAGTTTCTATGATTCATCATGTTTCCTAATTCTTCCTTAATCAAAACCATACTTTAATCTTAAGAATTAACCAAAAGAAATCAAACTCACATTGGTTTGGGTTACTTCACGATGGAGAGAAGAAAAGAAAGAGAGAGTTATCTGGAAACATTTGTTTCCTAACCCCAAATAATATTTAATTATTTTCCTTGTCCATGACTCCTTTACCTCTTTCTTCTTCATTCATTTGATAATTCATCCTACCCCCCCAAATTTTTCAATTAAATCATTGAATTTCTCAATTTATCTAATTTAGTCACTGAAATTTACAATCTCACACTTTGGTCACTAACTCGGTATTAAAAATGTTACAAAAAGTCATGAAAAGAAGATAAACTATGCAAGGGTCTTATATTTTTTGTATATTCGATTTTGATCACTATATAAAAAAATTATTTTCTTTAAGTGATAACCAAATTGAACAAACCAAAAACAAAATAACCACCCCTATAGTTTACCATAAAAGAACAATACAAAGGTAAATTGATGCCATCAACAAATACCTAAATCGCCTAGACACTATGAATGACTTATTCATATGAGAAAATAGTTACAACATACATCTAAGCTACATTTTCCATAGAACAACAGAAGAATACGGCTATGCTTGATGCTAGAATCGCTATCCGGATCGTGGAACTCGAACCCGAGCATCAGCTTTATATACACAACATCAACAACCATCGCGAGCAACACCGTCGACATTATCAGCCAACGACAATTTCTGAACAGCTTCGAGTCTGCTGAAAAAGCAGAAAGCAACCATTTTTCATTCATGATACAGCATATATGCATCCCAGAAGTTTAAAAAGCACACCAAGTGGTATATGCTTCGATACAGTATTTTAAGAAAAACGAGAGTTATACTGTCTGTTTTTTACCTCGATTAACATCATTTCGAGATGATGTCGGTGTTACGGAACTAGACCTATTTGACATTGAGATCTCAAGGTTTGCACAGTCCATTCCGATGCACCTTAAAGTCCAGGAAGATCAAACTCAAACACCAATTGGAACTACTACACTAAAACCAGAAAGCCTATATTTATAACAACACTCTAGAGAGTGTTCTTACATTCTCTGTAGCATGGGAAGGAAGAGACATTAAGAAGATTAAATAACCCTCTGAGCATCTGCAATCGTACGTAACAGAGACTTCTTGTCACACGATCCTCCTCCGCAATTAGTCCACCTGCAGACTGTTAAACCATGAACAAGTAGTGCATTAGCATCATCAAAAAATGATATCAATGACCAAGTAGAAAGCTTAAATGGTACAAAGCTTACTGTCAAGATAGATTGGTTTGATTTGGCTGCCTTTTCTTGCACAGGGGAAGGAGCAGCTGCACAAGCAGTATTCAACGTACCTAAAACCGGCATCATAAAACATGAATTAATCGATCACAACACGTGTCACGATCTAACCTTTTTTTTTAATAAAGGAAGATCAAGCTTAGCAATCTTTGACTTTGGTAAGATATCATATCACATATAGACAGTGTTTGATGCACAATCGATTTGGGCGTGATTAGCATGTAGCATGCATCACAAACTTCAATTAAAATACTGATTTCTTGTTGTTAGACAACAACCTCCGGAAGCCTTCTAGTCTCCGTCACATCGGATCTCCCGACACTTCATCAACAATTAGTCTTTACACAGATTTCTTCGCTTGCCTAAGCCCTTAAAAGTTCACATCCCTCGAGCACAGACCCTCAAGTCAACTATGATACGCAAACGAGATCTAGACAAGACCCGTGACAGATTCACGTGACTTACTAGGATAAAACCCACATCGGCCTACAAATAGCCATCATGACCCTACGATTGAACGCACACTAAAGGTCACTATAAATACCCATAATCGAGATTGAAAAGAGGGATGTACCACCCATAATCGGCCAGCCCTCTTTCTTCTTCCTTGTAATAATCCACTCTCTCCCTCCTTCAAATACCGACCCATGACCGTTCTCTCACTAGCTAAACTTGTTCTATCAACACTTCTAATTGTAGAACATAATATTTTAAAGCTTCCTTTCATCATCAAAATCTAATTTTAGCTTTTGTATCCTTGGCAGTAAAGCTAGTAAAAATTTCAAGCACAAGTAGGCGGGGAAAACAACAGTACACCAAGGCACAATTCTAATTTTCCAGAAAACTAATGAACTATCAAGATTCAGTTGGATAACATCAAATTAAGGCCAAATTTCAGAGAGGATTCATGATGTATAAACCATTACAAATCAAATAAAAGTAAAAGAAAAGGGTAAAAATTTACAGTTTGGGAAAATGCAAGGGAGAAACTTGGGATGATGATCATCATCATCGACCGCAGCAGCAGTTTGTTTCCAGCCAACATCACATTCACAGGTATAATAAGGGAGTGTTCCATTTGAAGAAGGCTTGCATTTTCCTTTTCCACATTCCACTTCTTTACATACATCATCTGCAACAACAAGAAATCAAATAAATACATGAAGAAGAACAAATACCAAAGTTAATAAAACACCCAAAGATCCCAAAACAAAATCAACCAAAATCAAAAGAACGAAAGAACGAAAAAGCGAAAGTGAGGAACCGAAGATGGGTGGCAAAAGGGGGGATAAAAGTCGGGTTTAGCAATCTTGAGATGCAGAGCAAGGAAGATTGTGAGGAAGGCAAGGGAGTTCAGAGAAGCCATGGGTGGAAGTTTCAAGAGATTGTGAGTTTTGGAGGAAACTGGAAGAGTTTGAAAAAACTGCGGTGGGTGCCAATAAATGGACGGTGAGTTGACTCGTGGAACTTGTTTACGTGGAGTGGAGTTTGGGGGGGGGGGGGTTAAACTGGGTCGTTCATGGTTGGAAGTTTCCATGTTTTAAGCTGGATTTTTCTCTGCGTCATTTGTCATTTCAGGAGTGGAAGAATTGGAAAATCTGGATAATATTTGTTACTTGCATTAGATTCTATATAAGTTATTTGATAAAAAAAAAACTACAAAGTCAATTAATTAATCGGATGATGCGTACGTAAAAAAATCTTTGTTGAAAAATTTATTTATTAAGGTTAGATGTACGATACAAGTCATTTCGAATTAATTAAAGGTATGTTTGTTTACGGAAAATAATTATGGAATTGGTTTTTTTCGAAATTTTGTATTTGTTTCACGTAATTTGTTTTCAGGAAAATGTTTTCCCTTGTTTGTTTCAAGTAATTCGTTTTTCGAAAAATATTTTTTAGTGTTTGGTTGGAGAAAAATTGATTGGTCAACGTAAAATATTTTTCTGATCAACAGAATTTCTTTTGTGTTTTCTGAAAAATAACTTACGGTCTGATTTTCGTAAGTTATTTTCTAAAAAATACTCAAAATAATTTTATTTTATGAATTTAATATTAATAAAATATTTTAATATCATTTTAATCAAAATATTAATTATTACAATATTTAAAATATATTTATTAATATTTCTAATAATATTATATTTTTAATATTAGAATAAAATAATCAATTATATTATAATAATATAAGATATTATATTGTTATTTTAATAATATATAATAAATTATTAATAAAATTTATATTATTTATTAATTTCATAGAAATAATATTATTAAATTATTAATAATGAATAATATTATTTATATATTTAATATTAATATAATAATCTAGTAATATTTTAATAAAGATATTTAAAATATAGTAATTAATATTTTTAAATATAATATCACTATTACTTTAATAAATAATATAATTTATAATATTTTTATTTCAATAAAATATACCAATATTAATATTTTATTAATAAAATTATAAAATAATATTTATTAATAAATAATTATTTTAATATTTTAAAAATAATAATATTAAGTTTTATTATAAATAATATTATTTATTGTATTTAATATTTGTAATAAATAATTTTTAAAAAACTCATCAACTAGTAGAAAAAAGGTTTAAACAATATCTTTCAAACATCGTAAAACGTTTTCCAGATGTTTTTCAAAAAAAATGTAATTCATTTTACGGAAAATATTTTCTGAAAAACGTTTTCTAGAAATGTAATTTATTTTCCACTAATTTATTTTTCAGAATTCAATTTTTAGAAAATCAATTACAGTCAAACAAATAGACCCTAATAAAATCTTAAATAAAAAAATTTATTAATTATCGTATACAATATTCGATGGATCCCAAATTTATCATAAAATTTACATTAATCTTTTCATTTAATTTGTCGTGTTAGATTCTCAATAATTTATTTTAAAAATATTGAAATCACTCTAAAACTTTTAAATTACGCGAGTCTCACTCTCAACAAACATCGCCCACCACTAAATTACCTTCATCTCAAGATATATTGTTACTCCCACCAACGAGATCCTCTTTACCATTCAAATCATGAAATAGATTTTTTAATCCCAAAATAAAAAATGAAATTTCTTTTTTTATTAATTGAGCGTTTTATTTGTGATTTTTTTTAACTAAACAATCTATTCATAATCCTATAATAATTAAATGAATCATTTATAATCAGATTACTACTTAAAAGATTGAATTGAGAGCAGAACTTTTGCATACAATTTATAACATAAAAATGCACATGGGCAACATACATGTTCACGTTTAGAAACTTCATGGCCACCAAACTCCACCAAACAAGTCTTTAATTACTATAGTTAAAAGTCATAATATCAAAAAGTATAATTTTGAAGAAATATTCACTTTTATCTTTATTTTATATCTTTAAGAATTTTGGTCTTAAATATTTCATTAATAAATTAAAATAGTTAGTCAATAAAATATTTTTAATAAAATAAATTCATTAATAAGAGTCAAGTAACAAGTGCATCAGAAGCTACGATGGAAGAAATAATATCGAAACAAACTTAATCTACCAAATTTTGATCCCTTCCAAAATAAAAATATTTTTGTCTAAAATGAAACGTGGAGGTTAAAATGCTTTAAAAATAGAAGGCTTAATATTAAAACAAGTGCCCAAATTATATGTTTTTTCCTATTTAGGTGCTTAACCCATTTTTCGGTTAATCTAGGTGTTTAATGTTATAAACATTACTATTTTAAGTGTTACAATCGTAAAGGCAGTTAAAAATTTCGTTATCTGTCACGTATCACGTTTATAAAATTCTGAAATTTTTATTTAAAGTAAAAAACTTAAAATTTATATTTAAAAAAAACTTATTTTTTTAAAAATCTAAAAAAAACCCTAAAACATTAAAAAATTTAAATCCAAAATCCAAACATCAACTGACATTGTCGTCCTAATCGCCATCTAAGTTATCGTCGGACACCCAGTGACCAACTATCGTTCCACTCCCCTAAATTTCTAAACTTAAATCTCTAAAATCTCAAACATTCAAATATCTTAAATTCCTATGGCCAGCTGTGACAATCGATTGTTTAGCCGTTTGATCCACTGTAGCAGTCGATCGTTTGACCACCTATAAACCTTTGTACGTTCAACAATTTAAGAAAAGGGAGAGACAACGAGGGGGGATTGCAAGGGTGATGCGGGGTTGGATTGGGGGATTTTATTTTATTTTTAAATAATATATATTTTTAAATAACAATATTTTTCTTTATCAAAAAGTTAAATTTTTTAAAATTATATAAATGCAATATGTGTCATTTAAAATCTTTTGTAATGATTTTTACGATCAAGACACTTAACATGTTAACGTTTGTAACGTTAAACACTTAGATTGATTAAAAAATATTTTAGACACCTAAGTGGAAAAAAAATATAATTCGGGGATTCATTTTTTTATTAAGCCAAAAATAGAATAAGAGCTAAAGTGATTTTAGTCAATGTGATGATTTTTTTTTCTAAAATGAAACAATGGAGGCTATAATGCTAAAAAATATGGGTAAGAATGACTATTTAATCAAATGTTAGAGGTGTGTTTGGGGATGGATGCATGAATTTATGTTAGGGGTGTAAACTTAAAGAAATTATATTAGAAATGTCAGGGGTAAAAAATTAGATAATCAATAAAAAAAATACAAAGAAAATGTATAAGATATAAGGGAATTTAAAATTTCTCACTCCCAGCATCCTTGAGCATGTTTAGCATTATGCCTATGAAAAATGTCCTTAATATTTTTTTTTATTTTTTATTTTTGGTTACAAACAGGAAAACTAACAACTAATGCAAATTAAAACTTATAGGGAAGGAGACTCATCTTGAGTCTGCATCCAAGAAGGAAGAAATCTCAGTCAGTGGAGAATAAAAAACCATGAGTTCTTCGTCGATAGTACAAGCCATCTTAGAAAGAACGTCGACACAGAAATTACCTTCACGGTAGGTATGCTGGAATTTTATGATCCAATTGCGAGCTTTAAGGCTTCGAACGTCTTCAATGATGGTTCCCAAAGGATGTAGCGAGCTATCGCCACCCTCAAGAAGCTGAAGTACAACTCGAGTATCAAATTAACACACTATGCTACTGTAACCATACTTCCAAGCGAGTGATAACCCGGTTCGAATGGCGTAAAGCTCAGCTGCCACACTTGTACATATTCCTAAATGAGCTGTGAACCCCAGGATCCAATCAGCAGCTTCATTTCTTAATAAACCGTCTGCTCCAGCAACACCTGGATTCCCTTGACTAGCCCCATCTGTGTTAAGTTTTAAGAAACCACTTAAAGGTGGAAACCACGCAACCATAAGAAGTGAAGTCGAGTCCCTCGCAAGTTTACTATTAACCCGTAAAAGATCATTTGTTGAAGAGGTAATGTTACGTCAAAGTCTAGCCTTGTCATAAGCATAGCGGCGACGATGCTCCTTTATCGGGTGACATGATTATCGATGACGATGCTAATGTTCCCTCAAGTGAATAGGCACAACTTGAGACCTACCAAAATATTTGTCAATGAGTTTTTTAGTTTGGAATTGTAGAGGTGCAGGGAATAGAGCTTTCATTTCCTTCATATTTCACTGAATAGTGATTTGATTTCTTTTCGAATAATTTAACACTTAATGTTCATATTGGGACAAAATATTCATGGTTAAATAAAAGTTGCTAGTTAATTAAGAGTCGACGCTTCAATAACATAACAAAATATGTATATAAAGTGATGACGTGAAACATGTCCAAAGTAATGATATGACACATACCATATAATCACTTTGGACACGTGACATATTTATGTTGTCAGTTTGGACATGTGACATGTGTTATTCATTACTTTAGATACGTGATTTGTGTCACGTCGTCACTTTGGACATATATGACTTGTCATATAATCGTTTTAAACATATATGACTTATCACGTCAGCAAAAAATATTAACCATTAGTCAATTAACAATTTTGATCTAACCATAAACATTTGCCCCAAAATAAAATGTTAGGGTCAAAGTACTTAAAAAAAGAATATGAGTTGAAGTAACTATTTTGTCAAACTTAGAGGTTTCTTTGTATTATGTCAAGTTAAAATGAGATACAACTTTGGAGACTAAAATCATTTCACCCATATCATTAATAAATTTAAATATACATTTAGTACCTAAACTAGACACGCTATCTTAAGTTGATATCTAATTTTTTTTACTCTCAAATTGGTATATAATTTTTAATTACGTTCATGTTTTTGTATACTTATTGCTCAAATATAAAATATTAAAAAATAGCAATAAATCCTTTAATTATTGAATCTCTTCGTTCGTTTATGGCATATTTACCAAAAAATCACCTTGCCATTTTTTATTTACGTGTCAGACACCCGTTAAGAAAATTTTACCGATATAGCACCCTTTGCAGAAAGGCGCGGATGATGTGGCCACGTGTGGTAAGATGCGGATGATGATCCGCGCATTTCATTTAATTTTCAATCGTTCACACTCCCCTAATTAATGATACCCATCCGCCCGAACCCCATCCCAAAACC